AACACACATCGTCGTCGAGTAATGTTGCCTCAGTGGCTTTAGCGTCCGACACTCATCCGCGAGGCCGCAGGTTGGAACCCCGGTTGTACACAAATGGACTTTTAGTATATATGCGCATTTGACAGTAGGTACTTACTCGTTAGGCAAAGGACAACTGGTATTTGACCCGAACAATGATGGTGCACACCGTCAATGTTCAGGTCGACCTGCTTGCTGATTAGGAAAAACAAATGATCAATAAACAGATACAGAAATCTAAGATGCTTAAAAGTTGTAGCGCCACTTTTTTTTTTGTTTCACTTTTTTTTTGTTTTAACAGGTGCTCGTTGGATGAGGAAAAACATCGTGAGGAAACCGACCTTAGATCTGAAAATCGACGGCGTCTATCAAGCATAAATTCAGACTCAATTAATCAAGAAACAAATACAGAAATCTGAGGCAAAGGTTTTAATAAGGCTGCCGAAAAAATATCTGGCTTTTCTGTTCATATCACAAAGAAAATAATTTTTCTATTTGTAAACTTTTATAGAACTATATAAGTCGGATTCGATGCTGATTTGCAAGTAATTTTTCAACGTCCGCGCTAATGTTCCCGAGGGATTGAGATGAGTATTTTTTTCTCTTATTACCTCGGTCTGCGTTTGATAATTTGTAGCTCTCGGGATACAACTTAAGATTGGATTTTGGATTATTTAATAACATTTATTCTTTCTTCTTCAGTAAGTCGCCACTAAAGAAACGAAGATTAACAATAGCGGTAATACTATATATTTTAGAATTCTCTTCCAAGAATTGTTCTATCAGCAACATCCAGATTAATATTAGTACTATCTCTTATAATGTTTACCTATCTATCCTGTATGTCCCATGTCAAGGCGACGACTAAATACGGTATAAAGTCCTCAATAAATTTTTAGATAATACCTTTCTTGCCTGTGGCTTATTTTGTGATATCATTCTAATAATATTAGGTTGGGGAAAAAGTCTTTTCGCATTATATACGTAGTATGTATGAACTTGTAATAAAATCTCTTTGGCAATACTATTTGTATCTGGCTGGTTTTGGTATCATTAAAAGTTTAAATTTTAAAGAACATAATTCCAAATTCAAATTAGAAAAAATGTGTGGTTTTTATTTATTTTTCGTACTGTCTAATGAAGAAATTCGATACATTTTAAAATTTTACTACAAAAAAGGTAAAAATGCAACGCAAGCCGCAAAAAAAAATTGCGATGTTTATGCGCCTAGTGCAGTGTCTGTGAGAGAAGCACAAATTTGGTTTAAGCGTTTTCAATCCGGAAATTTTGATGTCAAAGATGCACGTCGCTCTGGTCGCCCTATTACGGATAAAATGGATGCCATTTTTGAAAAAGTGGAGTAAGATCGGCATATCAATAGTTACGACGTAGCTGAAGAACTGGGAATTGACCACAAAACAGTTTTGGCGCATTTGAAAAAAACTGGGTACACAAAAAAGCTCGATATTTGGGTACCTCATGAGCTCACTGAAAGAAACCTAATGAACCGTGTACTCATTTGTGATTCTTTATTACGACGTAATGAAACCGAACCATTTTTGAAGAAGCTGATAACTGGTGATGAAAAGTGGATCACGTACGACAAGAACGTGCGAAAAAGGTCATGGTCAAAAATGGCCAGGTCGGTCTGGCTTCACAGACTGTGGCGAAACCCGGGTTAACTCGCAACAAGGTGATGCTGTGTGTGTGGTGGGATTGGAAGGGCATTATTCATTAAGAGCTGTTACCACCAGGCAGGACCATCGATTCTGAACTCTACTGTGAACAACTGATGAGATTAAAGCATGAAGTTGAGAGAAAGCGGCCGGAATTAATCAACAGAAGGGGTGTGGTTTTTCATCATGATAACGCTAGACCTCACACATCTTTAGCCACTCGGCAAAAATTAAGAGAGCTTGGCTGGGAGGTGTTAATGCATCCACCGTATAATCCTGACCTTGCACCTTCAGATTTCCACCTGTTTCGGTCTCTTCAGAATTCTTTCGGCAGTGTCAGGTTAACATCACGAGAAAAAAAAAAAAAAAAAAAAAAAAAAAAAAAAAAAAAAAAAAAAAAAAAAAAAAAAAAAAAAAAAAAAAAAAAAAAAAAAAAAAAAAAAAAAAAAAAAAAAAAAAAAAAAAAAAAAAAAAATTTTAAAAAAAATTAAAAAAACTATATTTAAATTGTTGAATTTTCTAAAAAAGGAAACTTGTTCCAAAATAAAAATAAGAAAAAGGTGGACCCTCAGATTAGATGTATTCGAACCCGGGATCAATATCTGCAGTCGAGCAATGTTAGTTACTAAAGTCCAAACCAATAACATAGAATTTTTCAAATATAAATAAGTGCTCTTAGTTAGTCGCCATTATATAAAACTGATTTTTACCTAATAAAATTTCAGTTAAATAATTATTTATATATTTTGTTTTTCATAGTCACACCTTTTTCTCGGAGTGGTGGGCCGAGATCTCCAGCTCGATACTGACATACTTCTGTCGCTTAATCCATTTTTGAGATTCACGATGCATCCTCGATGGTTTTGGGAACTCTTGACTTGTCCCTTCTCAAGTACCTCCTGGATTTGGTTCAGGTATGTCCGTAATGGCCTACCCACGGCTGCCTGGTATATCCTACTTCTTAACCGCTCCTCATTCATCCGTTCTACATGGTCAAATCACCTAAGCACTGCCTTTCATATCTTTGTCACTAGGTCCACAATTTAACTGCTGACGTGTGTGAGTTGTAATATCTCTTTTAATAATTCTTTCACAGTTATAAAGCTGTTTTATCTAGGAATATCGTTCTGCTATATATGGATAGCAATAGCTCTTAGCCAAAGTAATTACCAAATGTACGCCTACGCACTTGATTGAAAAAGTTCTTTTATATTTTTACGAAAGCCGCTCTGAGCCTTGAAACAATCAATTAGAGAAGTTTCAGCCTTTCTGAATTGTAAATGTGAAATGCGGACTTAGGGGCTTTACACATTCATCCACCACGTCGGATTAATGTTTTTGATATAAGTTACCAATGATAACATTATTATTAAAACGAATTAAAAAAAAATGGTGCGTGTACTTATGTACGCGCGTAAGAAGTTATACTTCTTTGGCTTTCTTTATTTTTTTTAAATATTAAATAATTAATAATAAATATTTAGCGTTAATAATTTAACAATATTTAATATTTAGTAGGTATATTATTCAATTATTAATTCATATTAATAATAATTATTATTTATTATATTATTAATTCAATTTAATAACTAGGTATGTTTCATAACCTTTTAACTAAGTAACAATAGGTCTTTGTGAAAAAGCATTGCTAAATTTTTTTGAAAAAATAATTAAAACTCCATTATTTGTTTAAAAGGTACTACAAATGTCATTATGGTCATTCAAAATTCTTGGCATAGCTGCTAACGTCACGCATATTCTATTTCTCTTTACTTGTAGATTGTCTTATTCCCATCTCGCTCGCGCACGCTCGGCGCCCATACTGATAATTTTGTGTCACGGTGCGCGCGCATCGTGAAATTTCACTCTCATAAATTTTTCATAACGCGCCTAAAGAAGTATAACTTCAAAAAGGTCAATTAAAAAAGGATGAAGAATATCTTATATGAAAGTACTAATTATTCTACTAAGAAACAAGGCTACTCATATGTACTGTAAATTCCTTTGTAAATATTTAACATTCCTAAACCATATTGTCATATGATGTCCTGTAGATCCGTAACTAAGTAATTAACAGACAAATTTCTACGAATTTGTTATTGACATTTATTATGTTTACTGTGTTTCATTTCAATGTAAACATTTATAAAAAAACTGTATAATTGTTATTAAAACCAATCGTTTTCGTAGTTTATCAAGTATAAGTAATTTTTAATACGTTAATTAGCTTTAAAACCCTTTATAGGACGGCCCATACAGTGGCCATTATATTGGTATCTATATTTCTTGGAAGTCGAGACGGTGGTGGTTGAGAATTTTATTTTATTTTCTGGAGGCAGCAATTGTTAACTCTTATATTGTAATGAAGGATACATGGATCAAAACGCATCCTAGTGGTACCAAACCTATGACACAGTTAGTATACAGAAGTAAACTTGCAGATGAATTGATAAAAGACTACTTCCAAGAAGACAATTTTGAAGAAAACCCCTTGATCGCTGGTCATGAACTGGTAAATTCTGGTCGCTGTAACTCACGCCGCTATAGGTTTTGCAGCACAAAAATTAAAGTCAAAAGAAGCGTGTATGAATGTAAAACATGCAATGTCGCCTTATATTATGTAGAATGTTTTAGACCCTATCATTTACAAGGTGGAAAAAAAAAGTTTAAATATTATGTTTCGTTTCATTATCTGTTGTTCTTTTCAATTTCTCAACAATAAATAATGTGTAAAATAAGATGTTGGTTTATTTCTTACTAAATATCAAGACAGAATAGGCAAATCCGAAGAGCCTTTACTGTGCATAGAGGGGTACGCAATAGTCTGCAGTAACAGACGGTGGCTATTATAATGGACACCACATTTAGTAGTTTTTCTCAAACTGTGGGTATTTCTACTATGTTTTATTAATTTTTAAAAATAAGCGAGGGTGTCCTATAAAGGGTTAACCATAGAATTCCGAATTTTAATTTCATTATAATTGGAAATTTAAATTGGACACAGTACAATAATTAAGGTCAAATGTCTCTGAAATAAATCGCGATAGATATCGCAATGAAGAATAAGCCAGGAAACTCAGTAATTAATCTTACTAGTAATGGGAGCAAGCCTAATTGATCTAGTGCTGAGACGACACTGGGTTTATTTGTTATTTATTCGTCTTATATATTTTATTAACGCTTCGCTAGTGTGTTTCTTGGACTTAAAAAACAAAGGGCGCCTTTACCAATCTTGTATTGTATGCTTGCCACTGAAGGCTGTATTTTAGTAATAAGTAAATAATATATTGGTGTGCTTGTAATAAAATGGCGACCGGCGCGCTCTACGTGAGGAACATTTATCTCCACCATGATCTGGAGTTCCCGCCTATAGCCCAATGGATAAAGTTTTCCACACGCAACTTCAAGAAGGCTCAATCCGACCCATTACCTTTAAAAAAGCCCGGACATATTCTAACGGATCCGGATGATCTAATCACTGTGGAAAATAACAAATTAAAAGCTGCACCGGCTAAGTCAGATGTGGGTAAAAAACCGCCTTGAGCGGGGAAGGCGTGGTCCTTTACTTTGTATTTCGCTTACACTAGTGAGCTTCCGACCTGCCCTTTAGGCGATTGACCACCCAGCGGCTGCTCATGCATGCAAGCCGAGGCATTATTCTAGCAGGAGAATTACTTCTGTTATCTTTTAGTATTTTGATTATATCGCGACAATTTAATGAAATTCAGCCACATGCAACGTGTTAAAAACTTCAATACTAAAATTACTATGTATATAAAATTATTACTATTACGTTCCTTCACTCAACATTTCAAAGTGTTTTATCTGTAACACAAAGAAAACGTAAAATAAATAACATATGATTATTTATTTATTTAGACTTCGGTGCAAGAAATACGATACAAATAAAAAAAGGGTGCGTGTACTGATGTACGCGCGTAAGAAGTTATACTTCTTTGGCATTATTAAAAATAGTTTTCGATTGCATGCAAATAATTAATTACAATTAAATAATCAAAGACTGGAAAGGAGTCATTATAGTCAATAAAGTTCAGTTTACATTTGAAAAATCAATTATTTATTATTATTCTCTTACATTAAGTGTAACATAAATTCTATTATTATTCGAATGTTGTTTTTAAATTACGTCCAATGCCGTTGCATCTTCCGTGGGCAACTTCATTTTGTTAATTTTGTATCTAATCCAGTCAAAATAGACAAAAATAAGTCATAACTTAGCCAAAATTCGCATAGAGCTGAAAATTGGCAGAGACGTTAAATACATCATTATAAATGAAATGTCAAAAATCCCCTTCGATCCTACTTCTGCAAAAAAATTTATTCAAGGTCAAAAGTATAAAATTAAGGTTTTTCCATTTTTCTCGAAAACAGTTAGTATTATCGTGAAAATAGATCAGACAAAAGTTGTAGATCATACAATTTTCTACAAAAATGGTTCAGTCACTTTTTCTCTTACGACTCACCATTCATGAGATATCGCGGTTTTAATCATTAGAAAATTCATATTTTACATAATATGCACACATTTCCGCACCACCTATGAGGTAATGTACTTGGCGCATTTTTTTTAACGTGATTTCCCCAGTAGGTATACTCCACGATCTATTGTAATAAAGAAAGTTTGATCAGATCGTATCCAATAGGATTGAGTGATTGATAATGATAATTATCCCCCGCCGAGTCAAATGTTTGAAAATATTAACAGCGATATTCCGGAGTCCTTGACTTATTCTTAGAACAGCAAACAGAAATTCTGCAAGAAGAAGAGAATGAAGACGAAGAAATAATTGTTGAAGTAGAATTAGACAATTATCTTATATAATGACATGTAGAAAAAACAACCTATTCCATTTTAATCATTAGCAATATTACTATTCTTTCAATTAATAGGATACGATCTGATCAAACTTTCTTTATTACAATAGATCGTGGAGTATACCTACTGGGGAAATCACGTTAAAAAAATGCGCCAAGTACATTACCTCATAGGTGGTGGGAAATGTGTGATATTATGTAGAATATGAATTTTCTAATGATTAAAACCGCGATATCTCATGAATGGAGAAAAAGTGACTGAACCATTTTTGTAGAGAATTGTATGATCTACAACTTTTGTCATATCTATTTTCACGATAATACTAACTGTTTTCGAGAAAAATGGAAAAAACCTAAATTTTATACTTTTGACCTTGAATAATTTTTTTTGAGAAGTAGGATGAGGGGATTAATTTATTAAAGAGTAAAGCTTGCCAAAGCTTAGGAATTGGTAAGAATGCCTATTTGATGGAAATCACGGTGCGCGCGCATCGTAAAATTTCACTCTCATAAATTTTTTATAACGCGCCTAAAGAAGTATAACTTCAATAATTCAATAAAAAAGAGGACAACTGGCCGCTTTATCGCATTCGGGGGATCTCTTACAGGCAACCATTGTTAGGAAATAAAAATTTAATTAAATATGACGAGCGCAGGAAGTGCAGAACTATAAAATATATATAATTACTTAGACATAAATAATGGAAAACTGCAAAGCAATTACGGTATGTAAATAAAATGAAAAGGACAATAAAAAAGAACACATAAAAAAGAATAATTTTTGTGCTCCTTTTACAATATTTATGTAAAACCAAAGCAAAAAATGGACACTTTCGTATTGGTAACTTGAAACTATAGAAAACCAAAGTCTAGTATGATCATAATTCTCTTCTCACACACAAATTGAATCGGTTACAAAAGCGGGTAATTGTATCTAGTCCCACATAGTACTTCTTTTTCTGTTTCCATTCGTTTCAAGCTGGCGCAACGGGAGAAGTGCGGAATGTAATTTTCTTATAGCACTATCAACGTATCAGTCTTTTTCGTATAAATGAGAAAATTTTCGTATCAAAAATGTTTAAACGCTTAGCAAGTCGACACTTATAAACAAATAATAGCACGGCGACATGGTTTTCGAACGCTGTAATCTACAATTTTTTAAATTTCAACTTATACTCGTAAGATCACAATGATTTTAGATACCCGTCCTAGTTTTTCAGATACATCCTTAATAACTAAATATGTATGTCCAGGAATGAAAAACCATTTCCATCAAATCTTAAAATTACATTTTAATTTCTAAATGGTTTGCGATGGTAGGGAATATCGGCGAATCTACCTATTTCGAAATGACCCGGCGTTGTATTAATCACTCTAAAACTTCATAAATTCCTTTTTAACAACTTCAATATTTTTACAGATATTTTTCCGAATATACCAATTGAAAGACTTATCATTAAAATAATTATCTAATATATAAAATTCTCGTGTCACAGTTTTCGTTGCCATACTCCTCCAAAACGGCTCGACCGAATCTCATGAAATTTTGTGTGCATATTGGGTATGTCTGAGAATCGGACAACATCTATTTTTCATCCCCCTAAATGTTAAGGGTAGTCAACCCCAAATTTTTTTTTTATTTTTAGATATTTTTTTCTGTTTTTATTTTTTTATAATACAGCATTAAAAATACATACAAACCCCTAACTTTCACCCCTCTACGATCAACCCCTATTTTTTATTATAAATGGTAAACATGGCAAAACGACGTTTGCCGGATCAGCTAGTTTTCTATAAACAGCTTCGTATATTGTTTCGTTAATTATATACACTCGTATAACACTAACTGATACGGTATTTATTCAAAAATACATACATTTTGTATATATAAATATTTATATGGATAATTCGTCAGTTAAACAAAAGAACGTTGTCGTGTTTGCGTTAATTTTATTTGGTAACAAGCACTCCATGTCTAATCTTAACTTTTAATGATTTTATAGTAATACGGAAGTCAATTATAGTACGAAATAGCACCTGAAACACGGAGTCAAGCGCGACGCCTCCTTCTTGAAGTTGTCTCAGCGGCATGTCTTGATTACTAATAATATAAAATGGAATGTAAAGTTATGCACGCCAGTGGAGTTGCAATATGCTGATCAATAACATCCCCCCATTTCACGTAAATTGCCCCGTTTTAACTAAAGTATTCAACTGTCTCTTTCCATCATAGCGTAGACAAAATTTGACAGGAGAGACCAAACATAAGGATTAAAAATAAAATGAATAAATAAAGTATTAAACACAAAATAAGTTTATTATTATTTGAACATTATCTAGATACACCTTCATCTGCTTTTGTTTAATTAAAGGAGAGTAATTATTTGAAGCTCTTATTTATATTTCTAATTGTTATTAAAACTGAAAACATTGGCACTATACAATTGTTTTTGGTTTTACAATGTTGAAGTCATCGGTGCTATTTATTGGCAGCCATATTGGGTATGATAATTTAAATTTAACTTGTCATTTAATAGATAATTAGAATAAAATACACTTTTTTAATTATACCTATCATTCCTTGGACGACGAGAAAACATGTTTAGTTTATAAAAGATTTGAATTCGTTTTAGAATCACGTAGATGAATACTATATATATATATATATATATATATAAATATCATTTATATATATACTATATATATATATATAAATTAAAAAAAAAACATTTATTCACGTAGGTAACACAATGTACACTTGTGATTCGTCATTAAAGAAATACATATTAATGCTTCTAATTTTACATTTACTGCCAGTTCACAAATCAAGGGCGTAGAACGGAAGAGAAGAACTGGCAATAAACTCTCCGCCACTCTTTTTAATCGCCATGTTTTTTTTACACAACGTTTGTAAGGAGCTGCAACCATTACACCATGTTGCACATGACATCTTAAGTAATTAATAATAATAACATAAATTAAAAACAAAGACTTGTCCTCTATCAGCAGGAGGCATGGTGAAATAGGAGCACGCACTTACATTCTTCTCGTGGGAACAACACGCAAACACATAGTCGAAATAATTAACATCACCGCATACACGAATTCAAGTACGACCAGTCACCACAAGTAGCACCCGTTCACGAGTATGACGCATGGCCAGCCATCGGCCCCCTCGCCATATTTTAGGGAGAGAGACAACCCGACGCATGGACGCCGCCACAAGCAATGACATTTAAGCGAGCATGACAATCCTTGAAATGTGGACTTGGCTACATAAGAAAATAATAATAATACTGAAATAATTTGATACCACATGGATCACGGTTTGTTCCCACTTTACATTAATACATTCGTGGATGTTGACGATCGCCCCGGAGTCTGGAAATGCAGCCGAGAGATTCAGTCGCGTTACCTATTTATACTGGAGAAACATATATCCAAGCACTAGGATCGTTTAAATATTCATTTATATTATAATAGGCCTTAACAAGCAGTTTTACTTTAATGTACCACTTAAATTTATTTATTGACAACTCTTGTATCTCACTAGGGATTTTATTGAAAAAACGTATACAATTGCCTTGGAAAGAATTACTCGTTTTATGCAGCCTTCTGGTTGGTGCGCTTATTTTGTCTTTATTACGAGTACTATAATTATGGAAGCTACTATTCTTTTTAAAAATATCTATATTTTTCCGCACATA